TGAGAGATCGGTCTGGACGTGGCAACCCTAAAAGATACCTTGACGACTAAAATTAGTGGCACTTCGTCTTGAACACCCTAAGGGAGACCCAAAATACGTGATTTACACCCCTAAGTGATATATGATAAAGCGCATCCCCGACCTTTTCACGTGGGAGCCCACCTCCTGGGATTATATAATTATATATTGACTACAGGAGCATGCTCCTGTAGACTGTCAGTACTAACTATAGACCCTATTCATAAATGGCTGCCAATTTGAAATTCTTTTGTATGCATTTAACCAACTAACCTCGTTCATCTAACCTCGTAAACAGTCTTTTGAATTATCAACTCAAAAACGAGGTTAGGTGGGCTAATTTAATACTTCCAAAAGAATTTTTAATTGGCAGCCATTTATGAATAGGGTCTATAGATTGCTACAATTTTGAATTGCAGTAGACTTTGTAGAAATGCCCTAGTAACTAAACTGAAGACGAGATTTTACCGAACTAGTTAACCTATTTTATATTCCACCTTCTTTCATTCTCAGGTTGTCTTACAGGCGTATTTTCAGTGCTATTTATAACGCTAAGAGAACATCTTGGTAAAGCGTTCACAGCTAACAGGTTGGTATTTGCGAACCAGTTTTTATTGCTTTAAATGTGGGCAAGCAAATAAACCATTAGAAAAAAGTTAGCACTGAAAAAACCATATTTTCTACTTATAATTTGGTTTCAGGGATATTGTGAGCTTGGTCAATAAAGTAACTCCAGCTATGACGGTATTTTCTTTTTTCCTGAGCATTCAGGTAAGTGACGAAAGACCCTGTAAACTAATAACAACGGTATTTCGTAGCTAAGAAAGATGAAGGTCTGGAAATTGGTAGAATATGTCGGTAGCGCGGTACGTCTGTCTCACTGACTGCCGACTGGTAGCTAGGTAAGTAGGTGGGTAGGCAAGTGTGTAGTGCGTAAGTAAGTACAGGCAGGCAGGCAAGTAGATTAGTAGGTTGATAGGTAGGTGAGTTGGTACTTATAGCAATTTATCAGCTTGAAGTTAACCTCCATTTCGAGTTTGTAAAGCTGACGTTTCGAGTATTAGCTAGCTTTAGGTCTTCGTCAGAGTTGCGGGTAGTGGAGTGGTTATATTCTGTAGATCAGGATTCTATTGAGGTCTTACGAGTTATTTTCAACTCTAACACTCAAAGCGTCAGCTTCATATACTCGCTATCGTGGTTAATATACCTTTAGCAACTTCAGTTTAATAAAGAACGAACTGTGTTTCGCTTGCTCCCCAACGCAGCCCAACAGTTTTTTTTTGAAATTAATGACCTTTTTTATTCTTATGTAGGTAAGTAATTCATCATCAGTCTGTCGATAGACTGGCGTTTGATCTCTCATCTTGTTCATCTTTGAACAAAGTTATTCACTATTCTCTTCGGTTTTAATTTTTTGGTTGCTAGGTAACGTGCTGTGGCATAATTCGTGGCTGCGGTCGTCCTAAGCTTGGACTTTTCATCAATTTTATTTTCTACTATTGTGCAACCCTGCCTTTGGCATCGGCTCTTGCCTTTTACGTCTTCAGTGTCGGCGTTGAAGGTAAGAATTTTTACAAACTGGTCTAAAACACACACACTCGAGACACTGTTCAGCTACTGATGGGA